TACACATAATACATTTATACCCTTTATCATGTACTTTTAAGTACTTTCAGCCTAAATCTAATATATAAAGTCGAATATAGTCTTATTCTGTTATAATTTTATAAGCTATACAACAATATAAAGCTAACCCGAGTTATATAGGCTACACATAATACATTTATACCCTTTATCATGTACTCTCGAGTACTTTCAGCCTAAATCTTATATATAAAGTCGATTATAGTCTTATTTTGTTATAATTTTATAAGCTATAAAGCAATATAAGCTAACCCGAGTTATATAGGCTACACATAATACATTTATACCCTTTATCATGTACTCTCGAGTACTTTCAGCCTAAATCTTATATATAAAGTCAAATATAGTCTTATTTAGTCATAATTTTATAAAGGATATAAGCGGAATTTGTCAAGGGCATAGGCGACTTTACAGTAGGGTATAGGCGGAATACTTTTTTACCCTGTAGGATCGAGGCGGAATAAAGTCGGGTCTAGGCGGAATATTTCTGTCCGCCTAGAACCGAAATTCCGCCTGGACCCGGTTTTTCAGAAAAAATCCGCCTCGAACCTACTTTTTTCCGCTCCGACCCTTTTTTACTTTTTTAGTGAGCGCGTCGAACCGACTTATGTCCGCCTCGATCCTACTAAAATCTCTACAACTATACCCCTAACCCTAACCCTAACCCTAACCCTAACCCTAACCCTAACCCTAACCCTGACCCTAACCCTAACCCTAACCCTAACCCTAACCCTAACCCTAACCCTAACCCTAACCCTAACCCTAACCCTAACCCTAACCCTAACCCTAACCCTAACCCTAACCCTAACCCTAACCCTAACCCTGACCCTAACCCTAACCCTAACCCTAACCCTAACCCTAACCCTAACCCTAACCCTAACCCTAACCCTAACCCTGACCCTAACCCTAACCCTAACCCTAACCCTAACCCTAACCCTAACCCTAACCCTAACCCTAACCCTAACCCTAACCCTAACCCTGACCCTAACCCTAACCCTAACCCTGACCCTAACCCTAACCCTAACCCTAACCCTAACCCTAACCCTAACCCTAACCCTAACCCTAACCCTAACCCTAACCCTAACCCTAACCCTAACCCTAACCCTGACCCTAACCCCAACCCTAACCCTAACCCTGACCCTAACCCTAACCCTAACCCTAACCCTAACCCTAACCCTAACCCTAACCCTAACCCTAACCCTTAACCAAACTAATTCATTAATAAAAAATAATTTTTGTATAATCTCCCTTAAACATAAATTTAAACAATTAAAATATAATTTTTAAAAAATATAAATTTAAACAATTAAAACCAAAATAAACCATAAGTACTTAATAACTTTAAACTATTAAAAGATATATCAATATATGTGTGTAAAACCTATTAAATAAAATAAGAAACTCTTATATCTTTCTACCTCCATAATCAAAACCCAATATCTGGTCTATCGCTATGGTGATTTATCTTGAGGTGGCACTCTGCTGCTGTTCCAACGATCTGCTCCTAATGTGAAGTGTCGGTTAAGATCTAGCCGCAAGTAAATCTACTGACTGAGGGGGCAACTGCTGACCCAGCAATGATTGAAGCTGGCTAAAGATCATTTAGTTTGTTTGCTTCGCTAGAATTCGATCAGTACCGTTTGAATAGTTAGGAAGTCCACTCTCTACTAATACCATGAATCGATACTCCTGCATCTATGCTATCGCTTAGTTACTCGTATTGGGGTGGTTTTAGCTGCTTTTCTAATGCTCTGCTCCTAATGTGAAGTGTCGGTTAAGGTCTCGCCGTAAGAAGTTCAACTTGCAACGGCTTACCCGACATCGTTTTTCAGTACGGGTTAGAGATCATTTAGCTTGTTTGCTTCGCTGGAATTGGATCAGTGTGTGTTTGAATAGTTGGGAAGCCACTACCAACCGATACCCTGAATCGATACTTAGATCTTTTACCTTTTCTTACTTTTTTGACTTGCTTAACCAAACTAATTCATTAATAAAAAATAATTTTTGTATAATCTCCCTTAAACATAAATTTAAACAATTAAAATATAATTTTTAAAAAATATAAATTTAAACAATTAAAACCAAAATAAACCATAAGTACTCAATAACTTTAAACTATTAAAAGATATATCAATATATGTGTGTAAAACCTATTAAATAAAATAAGAAACTCTTATATCTTTCTACCTCCATAATCAAAACCCAATATCTGGTCTATCGCTATGGTGATTTATCTTGAGGTGGTACTCTGCTGCTGTTCCAACGATCTGCTCCTAATGTGAAGTGTCGGTTAAGATCTAGCCGCAAGTAAATCAACTGACTGAGGGGGCAACTGCTGACCCAGCAATGATTGAAGCTGGCTAAAGATCATTTAGCTTGTTTGCTTCGCTAGAATTGGATCAGTACCGTTTGAATAGTTAGGAAGTCCACTCTCTACTAATACCATGAATCGATACTCCTGCATCTATGCTATCGCTTGGTTATTCGTATTGGGGTGGTTTTAGCTGCTTTTCTAATGCTCTGCTCCTTATGTGAAGTGTCGGTTAAGATCTTGTCTTAAGAAGTTCAACTTGCAACGGCTTACCCGACATCGTTTTAAGTACGGGTTAAAGATCATTTAGCTTGTTTGCTTCGCTGGAATTGGATCAGCGTGTGTTATAATAGTTGGGAAGCCACTACCAACGCATACCCTGAAGAGATACCTAGATCCCCTCATTAATTCACTTCAACCATATCAATCCACTAATAAAAAATCTAAATTTTTGCTAAACTTCGTTCAAAATATAACTCTCAAAAAATTTAAAATAATTAAAGAATAACTTTAAACAATAAAATATAACTTTAAATAATTAAAATCTAAATAAACTATGATCACTCAATAAGTTTAAATTAATAAAAAAATAAATAATTACTTATATAAAAAATTAAAAAAAAGAGCGACAATTCTTTTTTGTCCCCGTAATCCTTAATCTTTGAACTTCTCTCTAGACACCTGTCTAAACTTTGCATAAATCTATTACTTATATCGTAATAATTGTTTCCTTTTTTCTTCCCTTAGGCTGACAGGTCCAGCTTGCATATCGAGTAAACAGACTTTGTCTGATTATCTCGGATAAACACAAACCCTAACACACCTCTGCAAAGAGGGTAGATGCTCGGGGACCACGACGTCTTCTTACTCATTACTATAACAATATCTTGACAGAGGGGAATAGCAAATTTGTATCTTTTTGATCTTTCGGGACCCCCCATCTTTGTTTTATCTTAAACCTTTAAACCTATCTTGCTGAAAATAAATAAGTGTACGCTCTGATAAATTCAAATAAACAAAGTTAACCTTTAAAATTATAGCATAAAATAGAATCTACCCTCTACTAATACCATGAACCGATACTCCTACATCTACGCTATCGCTTGGCTATTCGTCTTGTGGTGGTTTTAGCTGCTTTTATAATGCTCTGCTCCTTATGTGAAGTGTCGGTTAAGATCTTGCCGTAAGAAGTTCAACTTGCAACGGCTTACCCGACATCGTTTTAAGTACGGGTTAAAGATCATTTAGCTTGTTTGCTTCGCTGGAATTGGATCAGCGTGTGTTATATTAGTTGGGAAGCCACTACCAACGCATACCCTGAAGAGATACCTAGATCCCCTCATTAATTCACTTCAACCATATCAATCCACTAATAAAAAATCTAAATTTTTGCTAAACTTTGTTCAAAATATAACTCTCAAAAAATTTAAAATAATTAAAGAATAACTTTAAACAATAAAATATAACTTTAATTAATTAAAATCTAAATAAAATAAGTTTAAATTAATACAAAAATAAATAATTACTTATATAAAAAATAAAAAAAAGAGCGACAATTCTTTTTTGTCCCCGTAATCCTTAATCTTTGAACTTCTCTCTAGACACCTGTCTAAACTTTGCATAAATCTATTACTTATATCGTAATAATTGTTTCCTTTTTTCTTCCCTTAGGCTGACAGGTCCAGCTTGCATATCGAGTAAACAGACTTTGTCTGATTATCTCGGATAAACACTAACCCTAACCCTAACCCTAACCCATAACCCTAACCCTGACCCTAACCCTAACCCTGACCCTAACCCTAACCCTAACCCTAAATTTAGCCCTGACCCTAACCCTAACCCTAACCCTGACGGATAAACACAAACCCTAACCTTGACCCTAACCCTTACCCTAACCCTGACGTAAACAATTTTTTATATTCTAAATATAAAGTACTTTGCTTAAAGTTTTGTGCTTTTTTTAGGGTCAGGGTCTTTTACTGGACATCTTTGTAATTTTGATTTTTATGCTGACTCTTATATAATCTTTTCTCTTTATTCCTTGAGGCTAATACGGCCTATTGTGTTCCAGTAAAGTAACTGATTTTCGAGTCCAGTTATGAATTATAAGTAACATTAACCCTATCTCTAACATTGACACTGACCTTAACAATTTTAATTTTTTTCTTTGTTAATCATTATACATTTCATGGTAAAAAATTTAATTATATAAAGCAAATATAAAGTATATAAAAACTATCGAGATATAAAATATGCAATACAATAAGTAATAATAATATAAATTAAAAAAGTTTTTGAAGTTTTTGCATGTAAAAGAAAATATTTATATGTATTTAAAAGTACGTCATATTTATTATTAATGATACATTTTTTGACAAAAAACTTTATGCTGTTTTTTTTAAAAAAAAGGATTTTATAAAATAAGTTGAAGCAAAGAATTTTTGAATCAGTAATAAATATTATCTATAAATATAGTAATTTTAAGTTTACTAGCTTGATGACAATTAAAAAATAATTTGATAGTTAAAAATGTCAAAAATAAAGTAAGTGATACAAACTTATCTGAATTTTAACTTGTCAAAATTAAAATAATGCCTCGATAGTAAAACAAACATGTCAGTGTTATCTGGCAAAAATTTAGACATTTTACTCAAAGTGCTAATAATTATAACGTCAGTTGTTTCTTTAATTTAAGCTTTTTAAACTCAATAAAGCAAGAAAAAAATTTTAATATTTCTCTTAAGGCACTCCTGTTTATCATATCTGAGAACTTTAAATAGATTAAAAAAATATTTAGAAAAGTATCTAATAATAAAAAAGTTATAATAAATTAAAATATCATTTTCAAATAATAAACTGCTCAACAGTTTTTTACAATTGTCTTTTCAAAAATTTCTTTCTTTAACTTTGATAATGACTTTTCTGGGATAGACAAAACTTTGATCTCATTTTCTAACTCTTCATCATCCGATATGTTTGGATCCTGTAAATTGTGAGTAAAGTCGTTGCTGACCTCTTTTTTAGTTTCCTTAAGTATTTTATTTAATCTGTCTAAATAACTAATATCATCATCATCTGCAACCGTCAGTATATTAGGATATTCTTTTTCAATATTTTTTTTAAAAAAATATTTTATTACATCAATTAAAGTTTGTAAATGATTTTCACCTAAAATATCAATTGGAAGTTTCCATGTTCGGCCAGCGTGTAGTCTATTATGTGTACCTAAATGTTTTATTTCCAATAGGTCTAGAGTGGTGTGACACAAATTACAACAAAGTTTTGATACTCCAACATATTTAATTCTTTTTTTCGAACAAATAAACTGTGTAACTAAAGCAATTTCAGCATGGTAGTTCTTCGGATTTTCACAAATTTGCCCAATCTTTTTTACTTTATTAATATCATTTTTAAACACGTACAAAACTTTTTCGACATCCTGAGTAATTCTATACCAACAATTAATCAAGGAATAATACTTGATGCGTAAACTTTCGCTACAGGAAGAATCTTCAATTTGACAAAACATATCATAAGGATTACCATAATTTTGAATTTGGTTAAGAAAGTTTGTAAAATTTTGTTTATCATTTATCGAGTCAAGCTTTTGAAGAAAATTGTTTAATTTTTCAAACAACAGTAAAGGGTTTTCACTAGAGTTATTTATTTTGAGTTCTTCAATAAATGCCTTATAAGTCTTGTTAAACAACTTGGACATATGTAAAGCAAGTACAAATATTGGTGATTTTTCCACTCCGTTTGATTTATAAAGTTTAATTAATTTAACAAAATATTTAACAAGCTTTTTAGGCGTTTTATTAGCATTTGCGTTAAAAGATACATTTAAACAATTATTGGAAATAAAAATACTTGTGCAATCGCCTTGTACATTTAAAATTCTTGCTAAAGCGTCAAAAAATCTACTGTTTTCATATTGATTGTCTTTGAAAACCATTGCTGGTTTGCCGTCAATTGTACGTTTAAGTTTATTGGAGTTTGCGTTTAACTCAAATAAGTTACTATATTTATCAAATATATCTAGTAAGTCATTAAATCTCTTATTATTTGACATTTTTGCCAATGTGGTTGCATTCAGGTATTTAATTGGATAATTATGTCTATGTTTATATCTGTATATCTGTAAAATGAAAAACTCGTTAATAAAAAACTTTGTAGAAGTTTTACTTTAACTATTTTACCTATAAATCTAAAAAACTCAAAAAGTATTAATTTTAAATATTAAACAAATAAACATATACACACAGCACTGATAGAAAATTAAAAGTATAATTTTTAAATACGTACTTTATTTTCATTCCTTAGATTTTAAAATGAAACTTATCTAATCCCAAATTCCTAGGACATTAATTTACTTTTCTTAAAAAATACTATTATTATTTTTGTAAAAAGTCAAGAAAACTAACAACATCATCATAAAAAAAATTTAAAATTGTTTTTAATAAACTATAACAGAATACTAAGTTTTTAGTTATATTACATACTTATTTTTTATATTATAGTAATTTTATTGTTTTAAAAGAGTAACATACATATCCCAACAAAATGTCCGATTGGGGCCCATATGGGTTTGCCCAAGTGGACCCTATGTGGGCTTTATATATAACCTAAAATGGGCAACATGTAAGCTAGCCTTTGAATACAAAATATTTAAATATTTTGTATTCAAGGGCTAGCCTACATGAAGCCCATTTAGGGCCCATATATGTAGTTAAAAAAGCGTTAAATTCCATCTTATTTTCTAAATTTAAAGCCATCCGCTCGCGCGAGAGTCAGGCATTATTAATTGTGGAAAGTCAGTAAAAAAACTTAGCTTAAGTCAACTTAGCTGCATGTTTATTTAAAGAATTGGTCCATGAATATAAAATTATATTTTTCAAAGAATTTTCTATTTATTTAAAGTCAAATCATTTTAAAAATTCCGTAGTAGTGCTATTAATGTCATGTACTAGTTGTAGTAAAAGAGTTTTAAATTGTATTTAAAAATTATTTCTTTAAATATTAAAGAGAACTTAAACAAAAAAAGTTACAAAGTCAGTTTAAAAAGACTAAAAATTTCTTTTTTAATGTATAAAAAAAGCTTTTGAAAGTGTATATGCTATTTGAGTTTTTATAAACCCACAACCAAAAATGTAAACAAAATGACACGTCTTGAAGAAAATAATTTAACGTTTATGATATAGTTAAACTTTAGGTTTGTATTTACTTATCTATGTATGACTATTACTCTTACTATTTTACAACTTAAATATTATAGCATATCTATTAATGCCTACTACTGTCTTCCTTTTTCTTAAAGGCCAAGTGGGCCGTATGTGGGCTTTAAATATGGGCCCGGAATGGGCCCCATGTGGGCTTGCCCTTGAATAAAAAACATTTTATAAAATGTTTTTTATTCAAAGGCGAATAAAAAACATTTTATGGCTCCTAAAGGGCCAGCCCACATGCGGCCCATTTAGGGCCCATAAATGTAGTTAAAAAAGCATTAGATTCCATCTTATTTTCTAAATTTAAATGCTATCCGATCATGCACGCTATGGTATGTGGTACTCTGCTAGGCATTTAGCTGGAGGAATGTAAATCATAATACTGCTCTTACTTTATAAAAACCCATTTACATTTCTCAAATGTAATTATATCTAATAGTTTTTCTCAATTTTTAAAAAACCCTCAAGCAAAAATGTCTATAAAATGACAGGTCATGAAGAGGACAATCTAATGTTCGTCAATTAACTTAGACTTTAAATATACTTATATAAATATGACTATTATATTTACTATTTTATATATTTAGTTTGATTTAATTAATATTTAATTTAATATAAAAATTAATTTAATATAAAATTCAATTTAAAATAAAACTCAATTCAATTTAAAATTTAATTTAATATAAAATTTAATTTAATTAATATTTAATATATAATATTAAATAGTTATATAGTAAATATTTACTATATAACTACTTAAACATTCTGTTATATTTATTAATGTTTATTATGGTTTACAGTTTCTTTCAATGTTTTACTACTATAACACTAGACTTGAGTCACATTTTTGACTACATTTTAAATTATATGTATCTAATTTAAAATAAATAATTATTCAAAATATTATAAAAAATTAAAACAAATAAAAAAGTGGGTCCCAAGTATGCAGCTCATATGGGTTGCCCACTTGGGCCCCAATTCATACCAAGCAACAATTTTCCTTGGGTGGTATGTAGGCAACCCATTTGGGCCTAAAAAGCTGCCCACTTGGGCCCAATATGCCTTGCTGGCTGGGATATTTTATTTTGCAACCACTACTGCCAACTGAACGATTTGTGTGTGTGTGTTTATGTTTTATAAGTATCATACCAAGCAAGTTAATTTATTATTATATTATTCATCACTCAGATCAAATGTGTTTTCTAATGTCATTTTTAGATAAACTATTATAACCTAACACAGCTAGTGCTTTTATAACATGTACCTTTTATGAAAATGTTTTAAATGCTGTCTTTATACAAAAAAATCTTCCTATCTTTTTTAAAATTTTATATGCAGTCTTTACACATAAAAAATCTGTTTCTTTAAAACACTCTACAAAAATAATACACAATAAACTTTATTATTCTCAAAAAGATTTTTATTTTTTGTATATTGTGAATATTTTACTTTGCAGCTGAGAGAAGTAAAAGCTAGAAATATGTTATACACAAGCTCAAAAGATAAACACGGAAAACATCAACTTTTCGTTGCTCCACAAAAGTAATATATATATAAAAGTAACATAAATTTGAATACAGATAGTTGAATACAGATTTGTAAATAAAGTTGAATACAGATTTGTATTCAAGGGCTAGCCCACATGGGGCCCTATAAAGAGTATATATATATATATATATATATATATATATATATATATATATATATATATACATATATATATATATATATAAAGAGTATATACATATATATATATATATATATATATATATATATATATATATATATATATATATATATATATATATATATATATATATATATATATATATATATATATAAATATATATAAAGAGTATATATAAATATATATAAATATATATATATATATATATATATATAAATATATATATATATATATATATATATATATATATATATATATATATATATATATATATATATATATATTATTTCTAATTTTTTATTTACTTAAAAACTGAAATATTTACTGTTTTTGGCATCCTACCCTTTTTAAAACTAAAAACGTCCTAAAGTTTTGAAAATTAAAAAAAAATTACAACAAGGCTATTTCCAGAGGAAGGTAACGCTTTTGGTAAAATAAAAAAAAAGCTAGTTTGCTGCTCAAAACTGAATTGCAACTTTTTTGAACCACGATATTTCTAAACTTTTAGAAATACTTACCAATTTATTACATAATTGCAAATAAAATTACATCGTGTTTGTTTAGAATTTCGTATTTTACCATAGGTTTACTAATAATCTTCATTGTCTTTAGGACAATTATTTTTTAATTTAGTTTACACAATCTATTAACTAAGAATTTATTTATTTTTTATTATTTATTTAAATAATTAAGTTGTTAATTTAATTAATTTTAAGTTAATAGAAATTGATAAAGGCGTTGAATTCATTAATTTAGAAAGAACATTTTATAAGAAAAGATGCAGCATATATATATATATATATATATATATATATATATATATATATATATATATATATATATATATATATATATATATATATATATATATATATATATATATTTATGTATGTATTTATGCATTAAAAACATCAGCCTATAATTTTAAATTTATGTAATAAAATCATGTATTTAGTTCAATATATATGTAGAAGCAAATAATGACAAGCAGGTACAACAAGCCACTAATAATTTATAGGGATAAATTGAACAACACTAACAGTTCTACTTAAACTCCTTATTATGGAATGTAAAGTAAGACAAGAAAGACTACTAAATGTTTTGCACAAATCTAACTAATTTTTATGATTTGAGAGTAAGAAAGCTGTAAATATTTTTAAAATACTCAAATATTTCCTAGAGCATGTCTAATATAATGCAATTTTCAGTTATATTTGATATGTTTTCAGAATATGACGAACATGATAAACACAGAACAAAATCAACTAATATGGCAACTAATAAGCCTTGCCATCAGCGTGTTAAAATGTAATAATGTTTGTATAGTGGATGTTAGGGTTTATGTGATTGAAAGTGTTATAGATTTAAATTCACTAGATAGTACTCTCTGTATTTGATTACTAATTTAATAATAACAGAAATGGATCAAAATTCCAACTGTGCCATTACTGTGAGGAAGGATGATGATATCTGGCTGATAGGAAAGCTAATACTGGAATGAGCAGTTTGAAGAGTACCCACAAAAAGAGATGTTATTTGCTTGTTATTTTGTTTATAAGATGGGTTAATGAAGCATGAGAAGCACAGCAGTTGTAATGGTGTGGTGGCAGACAAAGTTGCTATTGAAGTTCAACAACATTGGACTAAACTGGCATAGAAATGCAACGTAAAGACAAGGTAAAAGCAAAAGTTCTTAATCTGTATGATAACTATAGGACAAGCAGAAGAAAGAGTGCAAATCAAATGAAAAAAAGATGCACACACAAAAATAGAAACCGACAGGCTTTGTACCAAAACTGATGAAAGAGGAAGATCTTGAGTTCCTAAGTGCTCTACAAACTCAAAAAAAGGTTTGTCTAGTTGCAGAAGACAAGATCTAGAATTTAGAAAAAAATAAGAGTATAAAATAGAAGAGAGCTAATGTCTTCTTGAGAAACTTGTGCGGTAGTGGTGTAGTGTTCAGGGTTAGGGGTTATGTCAGGATTAGGGTTAGGGTTATAACTCATGCGGTATATAGATTATAACTCATGTGGTAGTGGGGTAGTGGTAGAGCCCTTGCTTCATAAACGAGTGGTTCCAAGTTCGATCCCCACCACATCCCTGGTTGTACCGCGCTCAACTCGTTTCTCCGCGCAGCGCCTTATTTATGGTCCTGACCACAAATAAGTAGCCTCCTTGTCTGTAGTGGCCTATTCGGCCTCGAGGAGGTGAATTAAAATAAAATTT